CCCGCCTCCGCCCCCCATGGACCCTTCTAACTTCGTCACGATGATGGGCATGGGGGTGCCCGGCCTGCCGCCCTTTGGCATGCCCCCTGCGCCCCCGCCACCCCCCCCACAGAACTGACGGACGCATGGACGCCCGGGACTCTGCCCTTTGACCTGTGCCCACACCGGGCACCTCGTGCCGATCTCACCCTATGGAGCCAGATTCGGAGCGGGGCCGCGGATGCCCTTGGGGGCGCGGCTCCTACCTTCTCCTCCTCCTCCTCTTCACTCTGCGGCTGGAGCGGACGAAGACTCGAGGCCCCGGTGAGAAGCGGCGGCGCCCCCAGGACTGGGGCACGGCTCCATATTGTGACCCTCTGACCCCTTCCGCGAGCATCTTCCCCCGGGCTCGGGGCCGGAGCCGCGGTGCCCCTGGGCTGGCACGGACCACCAGCCAGCAGTTTTGCAGGGGGCTCAGAAGGAGCCTAGCCTGGTGGGCTGCACCGGCCCCCACCCCTGTCCCCAACATCTGGATGTTCTGTGCGGTGGGGTCCTTGCCCCCCCCCACCTTCTTAATGGCTTTTTTTTGGTGTAACGAATTAAACTGCATTAAAGGGGAGGCGCTGCCAATAAACACCCCTTTCTTTACCTGCTGAGTGCTAGCGCCCTTCGACCTTTCTCCTCCCTGGGGGCCCGGCAGCCCAGGCCTGGCTGCTCTGGGGCGGGAGGGCATGGAGGTAGGGTGCGATTGTGGTCTTGTTGCCCTAGTGGGGAGGGGCGGACCCTGGCACTGGGCCCTGACCCTGGCAGCTCCGGTTTCGGCCTCACCCTGAGCCCTTTGAAACCAGAGCCCCAGAGCCTGGGGTGGCCGGCTCCTAATCAGCACTTAGGAGCAGGGGCTTGGGTGCTGCTGCCTGCCCCTCCTCCCCACAGCACTGCTTGGCACGGGGCTGCGCGCCTGTGTTTCCTCCAGCCATGGGGGGGCACTGGGAGCCTGAGTGTCTGGGTTCCTTTCCTGTCGGGAAGGGGTGGCTGGCAGCCCGCAGCCTGGCCCCTCTCCTTGTCTGGATGAGGGTGCCTGGGATCTCTCCAGTGCCAGCGAGAGGGGTGAAAGCAGGGGCACTGGAAAGTCCTGTTCACTGGTCCCGGCGGGGGCAGACCAGCTCGGCGGAACAGCAGCCAGGCATTCACGCTGAAACCTCCAGCCCTGCCGGCGGCGGAGGCAGTGCTGGGAGGAGCGGGCTGGAGTGCCCGGGCTGCCAGCTGTGCCTCGAGTAAGGGGAGAAGCTGGGTGGCAGGGCCCGGCCCCTGTGCCTGTCCGTCAGCCTGCCGTGAAATGCCACGACCTTCAGGCTGCCTCGTTACCGGCAGCCAGCTGGCATGTGGCAGCCTGGGCCTGGTTCCCTCCTGTGTGCCCCGTGGCCTGATTCAGTGGCGCTGGCCTGTGCATGGGTGTACCTTGGACTGGAGACCAATGGTGGCACAGGTGTGCTCCTGGCTGCTGCCTTGTTTACACGTGTGCACGTGGGGAGCATGCTGTTTCCCCCTGCACACAAGCATGCACGCACATATGCTATATGTCCTTGTGTGCAGACAGGTGCATGCCCCACCCGTGCATGGGTGTGCACCCACATGCAGGCTGCTTGCACACACATCCTGTGTGCAGAGGAACTGTGGAGGGTCAGAAATAGCCTGGTGGTGCCCAGGCCCGCCTCCGTGCTCCCTCCCTTCTTGGGGGGACAAGCTCGAAATAGCAACCCTACTTTTTCATGACGGGGGGGCGGGGCAGATCGTTGGTGGTTCATGAGGGGGCGGGGCTCCGGGTACCCAGGCCTAGGGCAAGGGGGGCCGGATCCTGGGCGCTGGCTGGAGGCGGGGCCGGGAGCCAGGAGGGACCCGGGCGCCAGGGCTTCAGCCCCAGGCCTCCCGGGGCGGAGGGAGCCCAGGTGGGACGGGCCCGGGCGTGGATAGAGGGAGGATGGGTGACCAGGCCGATCGATGGTGGTGCTGGCTCCTACCTCGGGGGTCTGTCTCTAAGAGGAGGCTTGGGAATGCCCTAGCTGGGGTCGCGTGAGCCCAGTACTCTCCTGCCCCGGGCGGGCCCGGACTTGCTGAGAGCTCTGCTTGGGTCCCTTCGGCCCCGGCTTCTGAGAGCGAGAGGTGGGAGGCTGCACGGAGAGGCGGGCACTTAGACTGACGGGAGAGAGGAGGCAGGGGCTGCAGAGAGGGGCGGGAAGGGGAGGGGTGAGTAGGGGCAGAAGGGTGAGATGGATGGGTGGAGGAAGGGAGGTGGGCTGCAGAGAAGGGACAGGACGAGGGGTGGGGGGTGGCAGGTGGAACCAGGTGACTAGACTGATGAGGGCGCGGATGGCGGGAGAAGGGCATGGGCGGAGGGATGGACAAAGGCGACGGGCCGGCTGGCTGGCAGAGGGCGAGGGGAAGGGCAGGACGGTGGAGACCCGGGAGGAGGGGGGCGGGGCCGGCGGGAGGACCGACAGGCACAGGCGGCAACCCCCCCC